GTTTAAATATGATTATTTAATAAACATGGTTTTCATACTCATACTACTCAGAATGTAATAGGATCAATAAGATTGTTAATTTTCTATGAATGGGTTTTTTTTATCAGAAAAAGGGAACCCATTGCAAACTTGGCTACTATGGTACCTAGTTTAGGATTTTATTTATTGTTTTATTTGAAATAACCACCCATTTTCAGCCAACTTTGGGCGGCTCCCAACCAAAAATTAAAAAAAAAAAACATTTAAAATTCAGATACAGACCCTCACCACCAAAGGTCTATTAATCCAGGGTGAGCAGTCCTTTTTCATCATAATGATGGGATATAAATGTTTTGGTAGAATATGTAAAGATATGCCTCTTGTAGAGCTGAAAAATGTTTATCTTCTCTCCATTATAAAATGTTTTTTGTCACATGTCAATAAATTCCTTACACAAAATGCAGACTTTCCTTAGTAAAACTATAAAAGAACTGAATCTCTTTAAGTCTTAAAAATATGATGGTCTAGATAGAATAGAAGCAAACTACGTATATGCAACATGGGCAAGATTTTATTAAGGCTATATAAAACTAAAACAATGAGGAGAACATATTAATATGATGATTAATAGTTAAACTTTTTTTTAAAGAGAGAGAGGGACATAATCTACCTTTTATCCAAATGAAACACAACTGTTCTAATATTAAATAATTAATGCCAGGGAATATTACTAGAAGATTGCCAGAAACTACAAGAGAACTGAAAACTTTTTTTATAATAATTAGATTTTTTCTGAGCAATACATACCAAGTTACAGTTCTTCCCTGCTGAAAGAGCTAATGGGAAAGGCAGAGAGAGGGAACTAAGTCAATTGACATTGGCTGATGCTGCAACCAGAAGGCTATAATGGTTCCAAGCATTATTCACATATTAACAAATATTTTTGAGTAATTATGTACTATTTTGAGTAATCTATATAAATAAAAATGTAAATGTTCGTTTGTTCAAAATCTTAAATCTCCGAAAGTTCTTCACTGATTGCTTTGAAATTTTGACACAACGTTGCATTCGAATATGCGCGTGTTTTTATATACCTATATTATATAGATGTCACACCTGTGACAGGTAAAAATATGCTTTTTTGAAAAACAGCGCCATCTGTTGGACGTAAAAGCAACACACACTTTTACCAGACTGAGCCACAGCAACGCATGGCTGGGTACAGCTAGTTATGTATAAATTCATTCTCTTTTGTCAGATTTTTCAAGTAGAAATAATATGTATGAGAAAAAAATACAATCGGCAGAAAGAAAAGAACACTAACTGCAGCCATAATAGACTGTACTCATAACCAATTATAATAAAAGGAGGTCTACTACCCCATTCCCAAGGCCTGGGTGAATTATACCTTCATTTGAGAAATGTGGGCGTTGACTGGGTGCTGCTATAAACAGAGAAGCAGACTGGACTTTCTGTGATTCATTTTGCAGCTAAAAAAATGAAGAGTCAATGTGACAAATCTTCGAACCAATCTTCTCCAATTGGATGTGTTGGACCATAAATTTTATGGTGGCTGCAAAATGGAATTGCAAACCAATGTCACTGAAGGGTATTATATAGGACAAGGCTACATCAACTGGCTGTATATTTTCCCCTGCTTTTTATATTGTATTATTTTATGTTTTATGCACTGTTAGGCACAGACAGACAGTAAATTGAGATGGGTGAGTTATGTAAGCTCTTTAAATAAATAAAAGTAAACTTGAGTCTGCTGCAGCACAAAGCATAATTAGCAAATGCTCCTGCTTTGTAGCTTATGACAATGCCTGCAGCACAAGCTTAACTATATTATCTTATGTATGGTTTATTCAGCCCAATTGACAAGTTTGTTTAGGATATTAAACTATCGCAAACTACAAACTAGGTTAAAATGGGACTGGCTAATTTGTGGTTCTGGGGGCTGTGTATGTCACATTGAAAACTAAAACGGTTGGAAGCTTGTCAATTCTTCCTCTAAAGCAGGGGTGTCAAACTCTCCACGTCACATGACGTGTCATGATGTATCGCAACTGTTTCCCCATTGCCGGAGCTGGGGTGGGCACGGTTTCGGCAGGATGCATCCGGCCCACAGGTTGGCAGTTTGACACCCCTGCTCTAAGGCTTCCTTGATTGTCTGAAGGTCGTAGCATCTAAATGCCATGATTGTGTAAACTTATGTTTTGATAGCTTGCTTCACAATTCACAAACTGAGGGAGAATCATAAGTCTGCTTTCAAATCATAGACAGGCATGTCAAACTGCCGGCCCATGGGCCGGATGCGTCACATCAAAACCACGCCCACCCCACTGCCGACAATGGGGAAAAAGTCTCAATACATCACATGTCACATGACATTGCGAGTTTGACATGCTTGTCCTACAGACTGAAACTTACATCATCTTTCTTAAAGCTTTCCATCTCCTTTATGGCCTAGCCTCCATATACAATTCTCATGAGACCAGCTATAAAACAGAAAACTGTTATCAAAAATCATTGGAATCACTCAAAGCAAAAATGGTGGTTTACAAGCACAAACCCATATTCTCTGCACGGCTAAAGGCAAGAAAGAAGACCATCCAATTTGCTGGATTGCAGAAAGCTAGTTTGTAGAAATATTCTGTCTTTCCAACTGCTTTTATAGATCTATAAAAACATTAGTTATGCAGAATAGGATTTTTCCCACAGCCTAGTTGACAGTCATCAATATCATCACCCTTCAGCTCATTCTTCTACAACCATCTAGCTAGCTAACATTGTTGCATGTGAAATACCCATCAAGAGCAGATCCTGCTTTTATGGCTTAGTTTACAGACCAAGTTTTAAGCATAGGAATTCAAATGAACCAGGAAACTTTAGTGTAAGAAACGTGGAGAGAAGTAACTAATCGACACATGTAGGAAAAAGAACAAGCATGTGAATATTTAGCATATTCTCACACTAGTAACCCTTGATTTAACTTAGTTTGCCACTGGATTTAAATATTGTGCTAAGCCAAAACAAACAAAACAATAAATGACAGTACAACACATAATTGCAAAATGGTTTGTAAAGTCTGGTTTAAATGTAACATATATGAAGAAGGCCACTATGATTTGTGCTAGAAAGAATGATTAAAACAAAGAATAATTTAGCACAATGTGTAAAAACAACTGTGTCTAAAAACAGAGAGAAAAGTATTTAAGATAAATTATACTGCTGTCTTTAATAGCTGCTAAGATTTTTTCTCCCCCTTGCCTGATAAGTCACGTTTCTGATAATTGGGTCTTCTACTCAATTTATTTTAGCATTCTACCTTTCATTTACAAAGTCCAGAGAGCTAAACTGGTTTAAAAACAATTCAAATCCTATTTGGCTATCTGCAGCTTTGTAAATATTTAGCATTTTTATTTGTTCAGGATCAGCACTTTTATGCAATTGAGGTGATAATGCTACTGAGGCATAGATGATACCAGTTATAATTATTGCTTACTATGTTTTCTATTGTAGAGGTCCCCAACCTTTTGGGCACCAGGCACCAGTTCTGTGGACAGAGGTTTTTCTGCGGACCGGAAGGGCCATGGTTTCATGTACTGCCTGCATCCCGTGGATGGGGCTTTGCTTATTTACGCGCACCGGTGTCTGGCATGCTGCAGCCCAGTGCCGGTCCACGGACCAGGGGTTGAGGACCCCTGCTCTATATAATGTTTATAATAAACATTATATGTTTATTATATGTTTATTATAACACAGGTCATTTTTGGAATCTGGATTCCTTACATTTTCAGTTGCAAATGTATTAATCAGCAGAGTTTAGGCAGACATTTGGTAATAAAATATAGAGTGCACTTATAAGCTGTTGTATAGCTGCATAAAATGAATTTGCTATCCTATATTGGTGCAGCATTTTATTGTTCAAATTCTACTGGCATAGAATTACTTTACAGAAAATAAGTTTATTTTTAACAATAGATTACTACAGATTTTTGGATAGCAAAATTGAGAGAAAATGCTTATTCATTGTAAATCCAATTTTATCACTAGAGTAAAATGGAGCAATTCAAGGACCATAGCACACAATGTCTAAGCCATAACGTATTAAGCAATATACTACTAAGCCATAATGTAGTTATTGGTGCTTTCTGAACTTGGTGGTTTTCTTGCAGACATTTTATTACCAAACTAGACAACATCATCAGTGCACATCAGACCATTAATGTTAACTAGTTTGATAATGAAACATCTTCAAGAAAACCATCAATCTCAGAGAGTACCAAGGACCTCACAGTTCAACCATGAGCTAAAAATATTCTTTTTTATCCATGATGAAGTTAATTGGCTAGTAGGATGTTGTGTGAACTGAGCCATGATTCAGAAACTGTGGTCTATAAATTAGTTTATAGATTATGGATTGATTTGGTAATTAATTAATTAGGTAAGCTAAAACAGACTATTACAGTATCAGGTGTTCAATGCCAGCTGAAGCAAGTTAAAAAAAGAATAAAAGATTCTAGAATACCAAATTTCCCTTCCCCCCCCCCCAACAATTAAATCCACTAAATTCGCCTTTTTGGAAAATCAAGCTTGGGCAATTAACAATTAGAGAGTCAAGAGATAAGACACTAAAAGCTCACTTAATTTTAATCATTCACATAAAATCTTGCCAATGTAGAATTACCGCATACTGTATTTACATATACAACAAAGTATTTACATATAACATGGAATACTTGAGAACAAAGTTTCTTGCCTATAAATATATATTCGAAGGACCACCATAAATAATACAAATAATCTACAGTAGTCAGAGAACTAGTTAAGTTGTATCTGTAAGCATTTATTTTTTGCTCCAAGTATATGCAAGCATTAGATATAGTACTCTCTAATCGTAGTGGTTTACTCAGTATACTCCTGTTGTGATTTGCTCATTCACATTAGTATTTGTATAAGAGGAAATATGTTGCAACTTGAAGAAAATATAAAAATTCAGCAGTATTGCAGGCTTAAGATTATTTATTCCACTTTTATCATGCACTTGACCACAGAACGGTATCTGACTGGTTTGCAGTGGGCATGGCTGATGCTTGTGCAAAATGGAACATGCAAAATCCAACAGCCCTTAAGTAAATATTCAAATGAGCCAACCCACATTTACTACTAACATCTTAAAAGGTATACTTAGCCTCTGAAAACCTCTATATTCAGAATTTTCTCTGAATAGATGTTCTGCAAGATCAAGACTACGCTCTTATTTTAGCCACACGGCAGGCGTCACATCACAGAACATTTGCTTCTCAGTTTATCCCTCTTTCGCTGCTGCTTCGATTTCTTGCCATCCACCTGCAGACTTACATTCCTTCTCTTTTCCAAATTAAGGAGCTCTTCAAAGAGCTCCTGCACGTTGTAGTTCATTTTGGCCGAGGTCTCCATGAAGGAGCACTTCCATTTTGTGGCGAGGACTTCTCCTTCACCAGTGTCCACTTTTCTCTGAGGGTCATCGCTCTTGTTTCCTACCAGTATAATTGGGACTTTCTGAACGTCTCCTTTGATCTGACAGATCTGCTCATAGATTGCTTGGAGCTCCTCTACGGATTGCCTGCTGGTCACAGAGTACACCAACACGAATGCATGGCCTTTAGAGATGGAGAGTCTCTGCATGGCAGGGAACTGGTGGCTTCCAGTGGTGTCTGTGATCTGAAGAGTACAGATGCTCTTGTCACAGCTGATCACCTGGCGATACGTATCTTCAACAGTGGGGATGTATGTCTCCCGGAAGGTCCCCTGTATGAAACGAAGTACCAAAGAACTCTTACCAACGCCACCAGCTCCAAACACAACCACTCGGTAATCATTACTTTGCTCCGGCATCTTGCTTGTTCAGCTGGGAAACCAAGGATGAACCCTGAATTTACATGCTCCTTTGGTGAAGAGGCCTGTCAAGGGAAAACAAGTTAGATATCAGCAGCTGAAGTTCCAACTTGTATTTAAACTCAGCAACACCCTTCGCCCCCCCCCAAAAAAACATAGCTTCAAGATTTTAAGCAAGGAGTATGGTGCACAGAGATGACCTTTGCCATTAGACAAAAGGAAATGGCAGCTAATGGGAAGAATCGCCAAAATATGGGAGAAAGAAAAAAAATCTATTGGTTTAGCCCAGGGGTTTTCAAACTTGGCCCTTTTATGACTTGTGGGCTTCAACTCCCAGAATTCCTCAGCCAGCATGCCTGGCTGAGGAATTCTGGGAGTTGAAGTCCACAAGTCATAAAAGGGCCAAGTTTGAAAACCCCTGGTTTAGCCTTCCACAAAGTTCCAGTTTCTCATGTGGCCCCCTGGGAAAATTAATTGCCCAACCCTGGTCTAAACTACAGTTTAGCCAGTCTTCACCATCTTGAACATTTGCTGCATGTATTGAATGTAATTTCCAGCTACTGATTCCCAGTTAACATAACTATAGTTAGAGGATTCTAGTAGCCAAAGTCAATGCATTTGGGGGGAGGGGCAACCAAATAGGGAAAGTTTGCCCTAACTTCACAGAGAACTGCCCTGTACTTGTTCAAATTATTTGTTATTCTAGCCCAATTTTTCCATGGGTTTCCAAAGTTTCAGGCACAACGCCTTCCGATAACCAGCTCTCCAATTACAAAAATAATAATAAAAATTGGACAAACCAGAGATCAAACGTGGAAACTACTGCATGTTCTTAACTTCTTAAGGATATTTGGGCTACAGAGGTTGAGACAACCAAGAATAGCAAATACTTAGTTTTCTGTCCTTCATTACTGCCTACTAATGGAGATCCAAATTTTTGCAGGCCTAGATGTTCTTAATGCTAAGCCAAAAGCTGATCTGCAACATCCCAGTTAAAGAATTGCCTACTGGTATATTGTGATATAACAAGAGGACTACTTCATGGCTAGGTAATGTTAAGCAAACCACAATGTGGCTACCTAGTTTAATGTTTCATATGCAAGCCTATCTCCAAACCACATGGTGTCTTTTTCCATGAGCACACAGTCTGTGAATGTTCATACCTACCCAGAATTGAGAATTCCCAAATTCCATTCCATTAGCGTTACATGAAAATCAGATCTATAAAAGGTAAACCCGCATCTTAAGAGTCAGTCCAGACTCCAGATGAGTCCTTGGATACAATGATGCAGTGATCTTAGTAATATGATAGGGTGTTTTGCTACTCCCACCTTGGGGGACACTAGAGTTGTATGATTCACTTCCTGGAGCTCACTCATCCAAATACTAACCACTTACTACTAACGTAGCCACGTTTAGCTTCGTTATCTGATAAACCACCTTTAACAAAAAAAAAAAAAAAAGCATCACGGATCAATTTTTTCAGAAAGTGGTGGTGGAGCCAAAACAACCTCTCATATATGAACACCCCCATTCTCAACCCCTCCAGCGATGAATGTTTATAAGAGTAAATTTCTCAAGATAAAGGGGAAGAATACCCTCCCAAGCAACGGTTAAGTTGGCTCGAGATCAACGGGTTTTGTAAACACGTGTGCGGGCCAAGCGTGGATTCCGACCGTGGAAACGCGATCAGATCCCGAGCTCTCTTCCACCACCCCCCTCCAGCCCAGAAGAAACGGCACGTGTTCCTCAGTCCCAACACCGGGAGAGCCGAGCAGGCCTGCCGACAGTCGGGAGCCCCAAAAGCGAGGCCGGCCAAACACGCACCTCACGGGCAGTCAGGAACAGGCCGAGCAGCGTCTCGGGCCGAGGAAATCCGGCCCGGCGTTGGTCGCCTCCGCGCCTTCCAGAGGCTGGGGAGGCCGGGCGCTCTGCTCACGGGCGGACGACACCAAGAGGGCCACTCCCTGCAAACGAGCTACCTCCAAGCCCCGGCCGTGGAGTCGCTTCCCGCCCCGGGAGAGAGTAGCCCTTCCCTGCGCTTAATCTGCCTCCCTGGCGGCGGCTGCTGCAACCGTCTGGCATCTCCCCGCTGGCCCGCCTTTTCCCTCTCTCGGCTCGGTTGGAAAGCGGAGCGAGCGGCCAGGAGAGAGATTAGTTTCCAGGGCTGCCGCCGCCTTCCCGTTCATTCATTCGTTCGTTCATTCGTTCATTCATTCCCCCCACCGAGAACGTCCCACTAGCGTGCAGCCAGAGTACGGCGATTGTCATAAACAGCAATAGCAGCATTGGAATTAGCTTTAAAAGAATCCAAACCTGGAGAGACGAGAACGAAAACCACAGCTTAGAGAGAGCGAGAGCTTCGGGGGGAAGCTTTGTTCCGTCCAAAGGGGCCGCGGGTGGTGGTGGGGGAAGACGCCTGCCCTTCTTCGGGTGAAGTTCTCAGGGTTGCCGAGGGATGAAGCGGCGGCTGAGCCGGTGGGATGGAGGGAAGCGATCCCCGCGGGGTCTCGCAGCAGGCGAACGCCCCGCTTCCCTTCTCTGTGGAAGCGGGCAGTGTCTCTGGTGCGCCAAGATCAGACTGTGGGAGGTGCTGCACCTGTTGAATTATCTGCTTGGTCATTCACGGTGACACGTGGTAGTACAATTAGAGGGAATGAAAGGGCAGCAGCCTTACATTATTATCATCATCATATCATCATCATCATCATCATCATCATCATCATCATCATCATTATTATTATTATTATTATTATTATTATTATTATTATTATTATTATTATTATTATTATTATTATTATTATTTATTTTGAAGCGTTCTTTTTAAATAATAAAAAGGGGGAATCTAGAATACTTCCCCCTTCTGAACTCTTGCAGCAGCTGTCCCAGCTGTCCATTATAACACGAAATGCTAATAAATCTAGGACAGGGGTAGGCAACCTTGGCTCTTTTATGACTCGTGGACTTCAACTCCCAGATTCTAGGAGGTCCTATATTAAAGCAGCGATAAGCTTGAACCAACAGTATAGTATAGCTCAGGGGTCTTCAAACTTGCCCCTTTTATGACTCATACACTTCAACTCCCAGAATTCCTCAGCCAGGCACGCTGGCTGAGGAATTCTGGGAATTGAAGTCCATGAGTCATAAAAGGGGCGAGTTTGAAGACCCCTGGTATAGGTAATCCTTGACATACAACAGATTCTTTAGTGACTGGAGTCACAACAGTGCTGAAAAAAGTGACTTATGACTGTTTTTAGGATCATTGAAACATCCCCAAGGTCACATGATCAAAAGTCAGACATTTGGCAACTGGCATGTATTTAGGACAAATGCAGTGTCCCGGGGTCATGTGATCCCCTTTTGTAAACTTCTGACAAGCAAAGTCAATGGGGAAACCAGATTCGCTTAACAACCGTGTTACTAACTTAACAACTGCAGTGATTCAATTAACAACTGTGGCAAGAAAGGTCATAAAATGGGGCAAGATTAACTTAACTGGCTTGGTAGTCCTTGACTTACGACCACAGCTGAGCCCAGAATTTCTATTGCTATGCAAGACATAGGATGTGACTTTGCTAAACTGATACATTTCTGATTTTTGGCTACCATAGACCAACATAGCTCTCATCTGCAATGGGTGATTATTAACCAAATTTCAGAACTACCCCTATTCCCCATCACACACCAGCTGGGAATTCTGAAAGTTGTAGGCACAATATATTGGAAAGACACTAGGCTGGAGAAGGGAGAACTTTAAACCTTTCTTTTCTGTCTCCCTTTGTTCTTCACCTATTATTTGCAAATACCAGAATGTCTGTAGCACTTATATTTTGGGGGTCTATTGAGCAGGAGAGGGAAGGGAAAACCACAGCAGAGTGATAAATGTGGGCAAATGCAGACATGTATATAGAAAGTTTTCAGTATACCTAGAGATAAATTAAAGGCTGGTCAGAAATAATCACCATGAAGAAATAAGTTCAGTCTCAGGATTGATTGATACATATAACCAGTTGAAATAGCAGCTCAGCTTTCTCAGTGAGAATAAATAATAAAGATTAAAATCAGAGGTAATCAATATCTGTAAAAGTGAACAAATATTTGAGGTTCAGCTTTTCCTAGCATGAAGGTGTATGTATTGACCAGAAGAGCAGTATCTGTAGATTCTCTGCTTGTTATGTTGCAGGCAAGCCTATATAGTAGGACTCTCCAGACTTAGCAATTTTAAGATTTGTGGACTTCAACTCCCAGAATTCCCCAGTCAGCAACTCTAAAAATCTTAAAGTTGCCAAGTTTGGAGACCCTGCTTTATATATCATAAACAACCATCTATCTCTCTTCCTCTGAGCGGCTATGGGAGGACTGCTATTGCTAAACACCATATTTCCCTTTGATTTTTACCCATGGGTTATTTATTTGCATTTAAAAAGCAGACAGATTAATTACAGATCTGTAGCTTGATTTGATTTTCAAAAGTTTTCTATTATTCAGGGCAGTTGCACTTCATCAGCTATTAAAAGAAACACATTGTTGAATTTCCCCAGAGTAAAGATGTGCTATATTGTACTGTATACATATTAACCAAGCCCAGGCGGGAGAGAGAAAATGTATAATTTCTGACTCTGCTTCCCTTTATGCATTTCAAAACATACACTCAGCTCTAGGCTCTTCATTTAAAGACAGAGATTAGTAATTTTCTTTATAGGGCACAACCATTTCTTTTTTTCTAAAAAATAAATAAATGGTATTAACCATGCTGCAGGTTGAAATTGCTTGCCTTTTTAACTGGCCCATCTAATCTTCTATGCCTTTAACAGCTGCCTGACATGCAAAAATTATTATACAAGGGAAGAATTGCAGGTTCATATAGGTTGGAAATGGTGGGGAGGAATTCCAAACCCAGTTTGTCCTTATGTGCATATCTGCTTATTAAACTCACAAAAAAACATGGTTGCCATTATACTAGTACAGGTAGTCTTGACTTATGACCACAATTCAGCTCAAAATTTCCAT